CAGAAAACTATTCTTTTATGAGTGATTGGAAACTTTTTACATTTTCTTTTGTGTGCTACAACAAATAAGAATAAAAAATAGAATTTCACAATTTCCAAATTCTACTGCAATCATTTAAAAATTATTATCAGGGAATACTTATGTTATTGAAGTATTATTGACACAAATGTTACATATTGAAAGGCTACCCTCATTAAATAGATTAGAATAAATTACTCCTTCCCTATTCTCCCACTGCATGTTGTATATATATTCTCTTATTTTGTTTACATTTATGTCTATATTATTTTATTATATATTTATTTACTTTCTATATTTATTTCATATTTATATAGTTTATTCTTATAGTAGCTAGTGAGCTCCTGAAGTGTGAGGCTAGTATTCCATTCACTGTCATTCTCTTTTACAGTATGTCACACAAACAAGTACTCAAATGTTTATTACAATGATTGGAAATCATTTAAATCACTTAATGTACTCAGTGCCTATTATGTGCCAGAGAATCAGCAAGGAACAATACAAAAGTCCCCACCCTGAGAGCTTACACTCCAGGGGTGGGAAAAGATAGTAGACAAAATAAACATAACATATAAGGTCTGTCAGCTGGTGATCAGAGTAGGGGAGAGTGGACAGAGCATTACTGTGGGTGGGGGCATTGTGATTTCGTATGGGAGGTCAGGAAAGTCCTCCAGGGAAAGGAACTCGAGTAAAGACCACGAGAAGTGAGAGGACAAGCGGGGTCGGTGCCTGGGGGAGAGCACTGCAGGACTGGCAGAGCGAGCAGAAACACTCCGAGGCTAGCGAGTATCTGAGCGTACAGCACAGCAGGGAGGCCAGCCTGGGTGGACAGAGTGACAAGCAGGAGAGTACAGGAGAAGAGGCCAGGTCATTGAGGCCTTCTAGGCCGTGGTAGGACCTTGATTTTGACTCTGAATGAGATGAAAAAAGGGCTTTGAGTGAAGGGGTGACTTTGCTTACAGTGAAAAAAGTTCAGTCTGGGGCCAACCGAGTGGCATAGTGGTTGGGTTTGCCCACTCTGCTTCAGCAGCCCGGGGTTTGTGGGTTCGGATCCTGGGTGCTGACCTACACACCGTTCATCAAGCCACGCTGTGGTGGCATCTCACGTAAAAAATAGAAGAAGATTGGCACAAATGTTAGCTCACGGACAATCTTTCTCACCAAAAAAAAAAAAAAAAAAATTTAAATTAAAAAAAAAGGCAAAGTTTCAGTGTAGCTTTTGAGTTTATATTAGGCTACAGCAGGCTAAGATGGAAACAGGAAGGACAGTTAAGAGATAACTGTAAAAATCCAAGTAGCAGATGATGGTGCCCTGGACCAGGATGCTAGCAGTGGAACTGGTAAGCAGTAATCAGATTCTGGATGTATTTTCAATAAGATTTACGGGGAGTGAGAGAAATAGGCATCAAGGATGGCTCCAAGGTATTTGGAGTAAGGGGAAGGATGGAGTTACCACAACTGAGAAGGGGAAGACCAAGTGCACAGGTTTGGAAGAGAAAGAAGCAGCTCTCTTGTAGACATACTAAGCTTGAGATGCCTATTAGATACCCAAGTGGAAATGCAAATAGGATATAGATATGAACTCTGGAGTTCAGGAGAGAGATCCAGGATGGAGCTACAAATGAGGGAGTTATCAATCTACAGGTGGTATTTCAAATACAGACTGCTTGAGCTCACAGGCAAGAGGGTGTAGACAGAGAACCCTGAGATGCTGTAAAGTTAAGGGGTGAAGGAGACGAAGAAACAGCAGAGGCCAGGGTTGGACACGACAAGAGGAAGGTATTTCAAGGAGAAGCGAAAGATCAACTGTGTTGAAGGTTGCGAGGAAGCCACGTAGGAAGATGAGAGGGACTCAGAAGTGGCCCTTGGATTTAGCAATGTGGAGTTCAGGAGGCAGTTGGAGGAGAGGAATTGGAGACAGGAATTGGTAGGGAGGAAATGAGTAATGGGGAGGTAGCTGGGGAAGAAGTGGAATCAAGAGGGTTCAAAATATCTTTTTTCTCCGAGAATGTTTGAGGGTGATGGGCATGATGAAGTACAGGGACAATTTGATGTTTTAGGAGAAGCAAGGGAGGATTGTTGGAGTGACGTCCTCCAGTGGGGTGTGAGGGGACGGGGAGGGGCTAGCCTAGGTAACAGCTGGGGAGTCATTCCTTTCAGGGGGGCAAGAGGGACAGAGATGGCAGAGTAGGAGGCCACAGATGCTGGGAGAGGAGTAAATGTAGGGGAGGAAATTAATTACCTAGCAGGATAACAGATGAGTTCTTTCCATTTTCCAAACTTTCCAAGATATGTATTATTATATAGTTTCATAAGATATTAAAAGAAACAATTCATGCGGACATATGGGCTTGTGTGAGTCATGCAGGGAGCAGTTTTAAAGCTTCCTCTGTAAGCCTACCCTAGGGTCAGAAACGCCCTCTAGTGGTTTATTCAGGTCATTAATTTTTTTCTTGTTTTCTTGCCTTTGTACAAAATAGCACTATGCACATTTTATATTATTTTTTAAGAAACAATTACAAGTCACAGTTTAATTTACAAAAATATCAGACACGTGAGTAAAATAAACCCAAACCATCTGCAGTCCAAGCTGGAGTCGCTATTAATGATCATTACTAAGACTTTCCCCTGTAAGTACATCATGCTCTGCCATAGAGCCAATATTTATGTTCATTCTGCTTCTTGAACGAGTGGTTTTATTAAACCCAGAAGAAGGACAACCAGTGGGCCACTGCCAATCCAAGGCTGAACAACATTCCTGATGCTACACAGAGTACAAACGCCTCATGGTTTTCATTCCTTGTTTCACTTGAGTTTTGATTGTTGCTGGGTTCCCTGGGCCTGGGACATCTCCTCACCCTGGGTTAGTTAACTCATTTCCTCACGTCAGTCTTTCCCGATCTTCCAGACTACCTTCAGCGTCCCCTGTTATGCAGTCTCACAGTGCCCTGTGCTGCTTTCTCCCTCAGCCATTTCCTCCAACTGTAATGAAATGGTCAATTCTGTAATGACTGTTTCTTGTGGTAAGTCATGAGGCCGGTAAGGGCTGAGACTGTGTCTGGCTTGTTCACCACTGTCTCCTCGGCATTCGGCTTGGCGCCCAGCACAGGAACAGACTCTCTCCTGCAGGAGACTCTTGCCACACCCCTATTAACATCTTTCAGATCCCACTGCAGAGGAGATTGCATTTCGGAAATGGATTTCTAGTTCTTGAATACAATTTGCAATTGCTTCAGGCACAGATGTAACAATTTGTTACAAAACTGTTCTGGCTACTCTTTCAGTAGCTCAACTTAAATTTCTAGCCAGCAAAGCAACTCTTACTAAGAAGGCTCAATCCTTAGATGCCATCCAGACTTTATCAGATCACTTTTTCCCAAAACAGAACTAAGGGAAAGACAATAAGATGCCAACAGAGGGAGCTGGCCGAGGGCGCAGCAGTTAAGTTTGCACTTTCCGCTTCAACAGCCCAGGGGTCACCGGTTCAGATCCGGGGGCAGACCTATGCACCGCTTGTCAAGCCATGCTGTAGCAGGCATCCCGTATATAAAGTAGAGGAAGATGGGCATGGATGTTAGCTCAGGGCCAGTCTTCCTCAAAAAAAAAAAAAAAAAAAAAAGACACCAATACAGAGGGAAGTACAATGACACCATTTCATGTTGCGCAGCCATATCCCTGATCCTAACCCATATATGTCCCACTAATTCCCAGATTTGGAAACATTTCACCACCTCAAGGGCTTCACTCACAACAGTACCATTGAAATGGGCATGGTGATAGTGTTTATCCACCTAAGCCGTTTAGGCTGTCCCAGCCTCATCCAGAGAATCTTTCTCAGTGCTTCTCTTTGATGACAGAGACTGAGAAAAGTGGATGGCTGGATGTGAAATATCATACCATGGCTCCCTGGGTCCTCAGCATAGGACTTGGAATTGAACAGGAACAGAGTAAAGTGCTCTGAGCAGGGAGTTGAGCTTGTGTCCAAGTCTATCTAGAAAGTCTCTTATCATCTCATCTTCTCCCCCCTCCCTAACCCCCCTAAATAGTTTAATGTCTTGGTACTACAATCTTGGCGTAGCCCTTTTGATGTGGGCCCTGAAAGAGATTCACTTCTATTGTTTGTTCAAAGGTGGCAGGGTTTTCCTAAAATCAAACTTTAACATTTTTATGGAGGCATATGTGATTATTAACTCCACTCAAAAAGAACTTCGTTTATTCTGAACTCCTTCAGAATAAATAACATAACGAATACAAACATACATATGTATATTTGTGGCGGGTTCTCTCAAACTTGGAGTTCCTTCCTTTAGTGGAGCTCTTCCCAGCATTGTTCACGTGCATGGCTCCTTGTCATCCTTCAGGTCTCAGCTTACATGTCACTTACTCAGGTTTGGCCTGACTACCCAATCTTATTAGTCCCCTCCTGCTTTAGTCTCTCTCATAGACCCTGCTATTTTCCATCATACCATTTATCACTGCTTCATATATTTATTGTGTTCATTCATTTAATTCCATCTATTCCCCTAGACTGTAAGGTTCCCAAGGGCAGGGACCTTGTTTGTTCACTTCTGTATCCCTAGGGCCTAGCACAGTGCCTGACATGTAGTCGGTGCTCTATAAAAAGTGCTGATAAACGAATGAACATTTCCTTGGTTGTTTCACTTATACTTATTTGTTCCTTCTACTGCGTTTGAATTCCTGCTACTGCACTGTAACCCTGAAGGGAACAGGAGAAAAGCACAACATCCCTCCCCTCCATCACTGAGTAGTGAGGCGGCAATTCCTTTGTTGAGAAGCTGCTGGCTTCTCCAGGGAGGCTGTCTCATACCCAAAGGTACATAATAGTTCTACTCGAAGTAGCACGACTGAGGCAACCAGGAGAGCTGTCAGAAATGCTTTTCAAGTTACATGCATTGGGTTCTTGGGCGCCCGAAACTGAGAACTACTGCCATTACAATTAAGCGAGTATTAGCAGAATGTTGAAAAGAAGTGTGTGTGTTTAACTTGCATAACGAGCCACGGGATCCTACATCATCTCTCTGAAATGAAATTCAGATGTACACATCCTTCCTTCCTCGCGCGCCAGGAAGCGGAGCCTCTTGCAGCAGTTCCTCTGCCCAAAGAGGGCGGCAGTATCCCAGTAACTCACTCCCTGAAGATGTGGAGGTGGGAGGAGAGATTCGCGTTCAAAACCTTTTTGACTCTACCCACTCTCCGTAGCGCCTTAGCCCGCTCCAGTTTCAATGCGCGTTGTTGTTTGGCGAAGCTGAGTCCTATACACCGCCCGCTGCTCTCCTGATCATGGCTTCTCCGAGTTCCTTCACCTACTATTGCCCTCCATCTTCCTCCCCTGTCTGGTCAGAGCCACTGTACAGTCTGAGGCCCGAGCACGCGCGGGAGCGGTTGCAGGACGACTCGGTGGAAACAGTCACGTCCATAGAACAGGTGAGGTGGCAGGACCGGGCGAGGCGTCCACGCGGGGGCTTCTGGGAGTGGGAGTCCCGCTCTTAGGGCTGCCCGGTTGTGAAACTTACCGGAGAACTACTACTCCCACCGTGCATCGCGGTGCCTCGCCTCTGAGAAGCTCTGGGCACCCAGGCTCGAACTGGAGAGTGGAGCGTTTATGGGGCAAGGTTGGGGAGGGGTCATTGTCAGATTTGGCTTGGAGGAGAGGACAGCCTCAGGGAGCGGAGAGAATCGTGTTCTGTGCCTGGAGGGCCGAAGCAGCCCGGGCGGTCAGACAGCCCGCTCCATTCTGCCGGGACATCCGGAGGTTCTCGTGTGGATAGTGACTTTCCCCACACTGCTGTAGTTTAGGGACATAGGGGTAAGAGAAGTGGCCAGACTGCGATCATGCCATTCCACGATCTGTTTAATTTCTGACCCACAGTGCCAGGTTTTGGGCCTGCCTCGTGGGTGGGCATTTTGGTAGTCATTCAATCATTTGAGCACCAGCAGTGTGTTGGACACAATGTTAAACGCTGGAAATACAAAGAAAGAAAACAGCGCCTGACCATGTGCGTGGCACAGCCTGGTTGGGGAAGACAGACAGGAAAACAATACAAGTTTGGAATGTGCTGTAATAAAAGTGTAAATTTGGATTGCTTGTCATTCATTCACCGAGGCCTTGAAGTAGGATCCAACCTGTCACTTTGAAGAGTGAGGAATGAGTAGTGAACTATAGTTTTGTTTTTCTTATTCCCCAGTTGGAATTCTTCCCAAGTCATTGTGGAAATCTTTGCCTATCTGTCACTGGAAGAAGTGGTCAGGATGATTCTTTTTAGCACTAACAAGTAAGCATCAGGCTGCTTGCTAAAATAAAATCTCTTAGTAATATCGGTCTCCAGGCTTAACCTTGGAGGGACCTGCTTTGACTTTCATACCTGAAGTTGGAAGCCTCCCTTTTGGTAAAATTAGTAATGATTATTATATTGTACATTTATGACTGTAAATTAATAACAGAAACGAGCTGGAATACACAGTTATACACATGGTAGCAGAGAGAATATTTTAACTGGAGATTTAAGCCTTGTGGGTTTTAGACTAGAACCTTATTGAATCTAGCTCCCCGGCTCAGTTAGCCCACCATTGTGTCCTTCTATAGAAGTCTTTTGCAAAAGATTGCAAAGAAATCTCCCATTAATGAAAAACCTACAGGATCTTTGCGGTATTCCTAAGTGGTGAATTGTTGGGTTGCTTCAAGTCAGGCCTTTTTTTTTTTTTTATCAGTCCCAAGACTGTGGAGTCACCTTTTATGTAGTTAACTGAATTGATCCCGCAGATAATGTTATGGATAGATGCTAGTGGAAAAAAGGGAATCAGATATTGGTCTGTTAATTTACAGACCAAAACAGAGACTTCCCTGGTTAGAAGGACAAGTCAAAAACAGGAGCATTATCAGGAGCTTTGCTGATCTACTCTTTCTCTTTTTCCTGTACTGCTTTTTTCAGTAGAGTGCCCCTGTTTAGTTTCTACCAAGAAAACAGCAGCACTTGTATTCCAAGTGCGTAGGCATAACGAGTGATGCAGAAAGGGGTGCAACAAGGTACAGATCTCTGAAAGGGTTCGCCAAGGTCTGGCCAGGTGTGGAAACTAGGCTCTGATATGGGATGTTGGGATGTTGGTATTATAGGATGTCTTTCGAATCTAGGCCCAACTGTGTAGTAGATGGCAGAGCATCTTATATTTCTTTTCCATGTCGTTACTCCAGCTCTCATTTTAAAAATCTAGGACAAACAGTTCCAGATAGTAGGAAGATAATGTAGTGTCTCATTCTCGTGGCTGCCTCAGTGTCTTAATAATCATCATAGTGTCCATTTATTGGGTCCCAGTGCTGTGCTAAGTGCTCTCCATACATTATCATTCAATCCTGACACATTTTACAGATGAGAAGACTGAGGCTTAGAGAAGTGCTATGTTGGTAGATTAATGATGATATATTCCTAAGAAATACCAGCCTTGCTAGGATGAGTCATTTGCAGAAAACACTACTATTATTCTTTTGGTTCTGACTGAAGCGTCCATTTATTTGTAGGGTTTACTGACAGCTCAATTTTGTGCCGTTGCCAATAAAAACAAATGCTGGTCACCTGCTTCCTATCTGATTATTGGAAGACTATTTGTTAAACAATAATTTGATAATAGGAGTTAAATCTATGAACAGTGGCAAGAGCCCTTAGCTATGGGTCCTTCTGTTCTGTCCATTCATTTTTGTTCATTTAACAATTACTTGAGGGGCTGGCCCCATGGCCGAGAGGTTAAGTTGTCGCACTCCGCTGTAGCGGCCCACTGTTTCGCGGGTTCGAATCCTGGGCGCGGACGTGGCACTGCCCATCAAGCCGTGCTGAGGCGGCATCCCACATGCCACAGCTAGAAGGACCCACAACTGAGAATATACAACTATGTACTGGGGGCTTTGGGGAGAAAAAGGAAAAAATAAAAATAAACAAACAAAACAAAAAACCAATTACTTGAGTTCCTTCTATATGCCAGGCACTGTTCTTGCCACTGGACGTAAGGTGGGGCACGAAAGAGGCCAAATTGATGCCTTTATGAAACTTTTGTTCTAGGCCAGGGAGGCAATCAAAAAGGGAAAAAAACCCTATCTATTTATCTATCTATTGTCTATCTATTTAATGCTAGAGAGAAGTACTGTGGAGAATATTAAAGCAGGATTAGGGAATAGAGTGTGCCCGGAATGGGTGGGGTGGGAGCAGGGGAGGTTTTTATGTAAGATGGTAAGGGAAAACCTCTGATGATGTGATGTTTTAGCTGAGACCTGAAGTAAGAGAAGAAACAAGCCACTTGTGTACCCAGGGAAAAGCATCCTGGGCAGAGAAAGCAGCAAGTGCAAAGGACTCAAGGCAGGCATGTCCCTGGTGAGTGGGAGCCACTGGGAGAAGAGGGTTAGCAAAGAGGAGAGTAGGAGATGAGGCTGGCCGTAGAGGGGCTCATAGGCCATTGTAAGTACTTTTGTTGTAGGTACCTGATTGAGATGGGAGCCACTGGGCTGGAGAGCTTCCGTCTACCTCCCCAGATTCGCTCTACCCTTTTCCACCCTGCTCTGGAGATGTGCCCCTGGAGGTGGACCTGCAGTGGCAGGCTCCCTTGCCTTATGGCTTCTAGTTGTATTTGGCCATGGGGAGTACGGATAGCAGATGAGAGAGAGGCAGGGAGAAGAATGGGATTGGTGTATTCGTTCCCTTCCTGCAGGGTCATGTGGGCTGGAGTGTCTTTGAATTGAGGTCCCACCTCCTCTCAGGGGCCTCCTCCATGGGCTCTCTCTTTCCCTTTCCACTTCTCTTCCCACCTTCAGGTCTAGGAGGGGATGCCCTCTGTTGCCAGCCCCACAGTACTACACTCTGTGGTTTTGCTATACCTGCTCACACCTTTGTAACTAGTGCCTTTATAAACTCTCCTCAGATCACCCACTTTGAATGTGCCATCTGTCTCCTACCAGGAGTCACACTGATCCATAATGGCGGGGTTTTGACACAAGCTGACCAGCATTTCAACAGACTCCTTGAGGTCACTGTTGAGAGCAGATTGTGGGGAGGTGAGGAGCAGATTGAGGGGAGGCGAGGGTGGGTACAGGGAGGCTGTTGCAGGACTGCAGGTGACATACGACAGCGTCTGAGCTCAGGGCTATGGCAGTGGAGGTAATCAGGTGCTGGGCAGTTTTTGAAGGTCTCTACTTTGATAACCTGTTTTGCTGATGGATTTGATGCATGGAGAGACTTTTATGACTCTAGAAAGCAAGGCGCGATTGTACTGTTAGTCGTTGTCTTCTTTTGTTGTGCCATTTGCAGTCACCCCATTGCAGATGCTCTGTGATTCAGGCCAGCAGTTAGTACTGGTACAGTCTCCGAGGTAGCAGCCTTGCTAAAAACAGTTGTTTACGGAAGATACTACTTCTCTTTTTCCTTCAGTTTGCTCTTGAACAGATGCGAAAGCATCCTCCACTTGAAATGGCACGATATCGTTAGACAGCATTCAGTCAAGTGACAGTCTACTCTGAGTGGAGTATAGAACAATGATCGGTCTTAGTCCCTGACCTCAAAATTCTTCTGTCTTAGAGGAAAAAAAAATATGCCTGAAGCAATTAGAGAATAATTTACAAGAGCATGTAATTAATGCTCACTTATGACTGCATTGCGTATGCGGTCGTAATTGCACAGGGAGTGGAGGCTGGTCTGTGGGCTGAGGCGGTCAGGACAACTTCACGTGGGCGTGGGGCTGGGCTCTAAAGGATGGAGCTGGGGGGCAGCCGTTCCAGTGGGAGGAGCTGTTTTGAGGGAAGACTCCAGCTTACTGGGAATGGAGGGTGCAGGTTGGTTGTGGTAGGAAAGTAGGTCAGCTGGATGGGCAGGGCCAATGGGGGGGTGGGGCAGGGGTAGGAAGGGTGGAGAGCCTGGCTAAGGAGCTGGTTTCAAGTGATGGGCGTTGCCCCACTGCAGATCCTGAAGGAGGGAGTGTCAGAGGTCCAGGAATGAATCCTGAACTCCTGCTGTTGACTTGTTTCAAGGTATATTCTCCAAAAGGTTATTAAGTAGAGGTGGAACAAATCACTAAATATGATCAAACTTAATCGTTTCTTATGCTTCTGATAGAAGGGACCAGAGCTTTGCTTGGTTAAGTGGTCAGTAGGCTAGCTATGTGAATCAGTTTTATTTTCTTGGAATTCAGCATATACCATGTTGCCCAACTATAAGGCAATTCTAAATATCAAAAATTTCCCATTTTCCCTATTAAAGTCAAAAATAATGTTTTTTGGTCAACTTCAAAATACACGTACTTTTAGGTATGGAGGTGAGCAAATCAAATGCCTACTTAGAAAATTTGCATTGTAAATTTAGGTACATATTCCTATGTAAAATCACATACTTTATAAAGTCACACTAATTTGGAAATATTCTTTTTCCTCCGTGTTAGTGAAACATTTTTCT